TGAATGAATTTAGCCAGATAACACGAATCGGTTGATTATGCATTACACTTTAGCACACTGACAGCACGTAACACAGTCAAGTGGAGAGATAGAGAGGCAGACAGCCAGAGAGAGAGAGAGAGGTAATCACTATCTTCACCTTTTTATATATACTGAACAAATTCAAAAAGCCGGACAGTATCTAAATTATCATAGTCTCTGTTCACTACAGCATAAAAAAGCGTTGGTTAAGTGTTTGTTTAAATGCATTTTTCACCGTATATGTAATGCGAACAAAACTGAAGAAGAAATACAAAACCTCACAGAAACATCGTTAGATAGCAACTACCCGCTGAGATTTATTAGGCATTATTGAAGTGTCAACCAAAGAGTTCTACCAATTCGATCAGCTCCCATAAAGGATGTTTATATATCCTTGACTTTTACGAGTGATCAACAATGTTTGGTTAGTAAACAAAGTCTCAAGCTGGTAATTAATAGAAATTACTATACTGCTAGAGAAAACGAGAACTTTGTTATCGTGTAAACCACCACAGTGGTATCCGAAAGATAGTGTCACATCTCATTGTGTTTATCACTTTTCATGTATGTGTGAACACAAGTACATTGGCGGCACGACCCATCGGTCTCTGCAGCTTAGAGCTACACAAAATATTCCAAAGTGGCTGCAACAACAACAAATAAAATCGCCATATACAATTGATCCCGGAAATAGATGTCCAACATCATCTATAGAGAAGCACGTTATAGAGACAGGTCATAATTTTTGTTTCAGAAATGCATTTGAACCCATATATAAAACAAGGTTTGATAACATACTTGAATTCGTTGAATCCTTAGCTGTGAAAATAATTAAACCTGTCAGTCTAACGTGTCGAAAAGTTATTTGTTATTACTTGAAACTGCCTCGATAATCGAATTTAATTCATAATATTTTCAACCCTTTCTTTGTTATCTGCCTACCCATTATTTGTAAACTTCAACTGTACACAATCTAACCTGCATTGTAATGATTCATGCCAAATCTCGGCTTCTCTAAAACTATACACGACAAGTACTCGTGTGTGTGATAAGAATGCCTGAAATGTGTTGCTCAAATGCACACTGCATTACACCTTTCAGATATGCTATCTACGTCTTCTTATTGTGTTGTCGAAATTCATGAAGGAAACTAATTGCTTTAAATTCAGGAAAACCGTGAGAAAAACAATAGACTGCAAACTAAACATAAGAATAATTTCCTGTAGGCAGACCGTACAATCGTGAAGGATCACTTCCATTGGGTTTAACACGGCTGTAGGCTGCCTCTGAGAAGACTGCATTTTTTCAGCTCCTCTTAGCGTGTTCGTTTGTGAACTGCTTTTCAGCCTTTCCGTCTGGATCTGTTGGGTTGCGAAGCTTTTGGAATTTCCTTTCATTGGTTGGAAGCGAATTCATTTTGTCAGCGTAATGCATTGTCTTATTAAATGATGTCACTTCACAGTATTTTCATTATAGATACTCATTTCAAATTCTTATTTTACTTGTTAAGTTAACCGTACCACAAACTATGTGTTTATCTTTGTAACTTTTGAATCTATAATTCTAATATTCTAAGTGTTTAGGTGGAAATATTGATGTGTTAATTAACGACTGAGACTTTGCTTCAGTGAGTGGAAGTAGATCTGACCTTTGACTGTCTGCGAGGATTGTTTGGTGTGTGACATTTGTTGACAGAGTTTTCATTCCACCTTATTGAGAATAGTCTACTTGTTTGTTCTGTAAATCTTACAGTTGACATTTGGTTAACTAATATTGCCGTATAGTACTTTTTGTGCTGGCAATTCTTTGATCCCTATTCTCTGATTTGCCTAACGGCCTTGTTGAGGTAGTTCTAAGTTTCTGATGTATTATCACTGTTGAATAGTTCATCAAATTTACTGAAAATAAATCTCCTAATATCGTTTAAATTTTTTATAACTTTTCATTACTCAAAAACGTTTTGGTCAGGAATACAGTAGGACGTGGATACTGTTTCAAAGATTTCAGATAGTGTCACCTCGTTTTTCTTCGCTATACTTTTTGTCATTATCAACACAAAACTGGATTCGAAACCAGATAAGCTAGAGGATAATTCGAAACAACCAAACTACCAAAATGGATATGGGAGCAATTAGCTGACATGATGAAACTCCTCAGTCCAAACTTATAAGTCAGAAAATATTCAGTTAATTTCGCATATATATACTTCATCCCTGTTCAACAAAATTATCGACAATATCATTTTAATTTTTAGTGGTCATAGAACGCTTTGTTTCTTAGTGTTATCATATTTCAAACGGAACAAGGTTTGTTACAGTTGGCGAATTATATGTGATTTTTGTGAACTCCTACACACAGATACACACAAGTATCCTGTATATTTATGTGAGACAGCTCTAAAGTACTCAGAGTATTCAACATGTCTTTCTTATTGGCTGGATAATCCTATTGAGGCTTCAAATTTTTAATATCGGAAGTCATTGATTCAGTCAGTTTCAGTAAATTGAAGGATGATCCAATTGTCATATATCTGATTTTTCCAATGAACATGAATAATTCGCTTAAAGAGTTACTGGATCACCAGGCGAATTTATGTCAGCCATCCGATTGTTAAGTGAGTCAAATTGTTCATCGTGAGATTATTTATTAACATATTTTTAAGAGTCAGAATTTCATCACTATAATTGATCTGGCAACTGTTTGCAATAATATTTCAATTAATGAGATTCTGGAAATAGTTGCTTAGGGGCTAGCAGCTGCTTCTACTCTTCCAAGACCAATATATCTGAACTGGATGTCATTCATTTGGAAAGGTCAGTGCAATTTCATATGTCTGTCTCCGTTCGAAAAATATATAACTCAGGTATTCAATCGAAATTACAGCACTTTTCTTTAACGGAAAACAACGTGGCTTAGTGAAGTTAGACAATGTTTGTTGATTCGCTGTATGGGCTTGAAAAATCATTTACATTGAACTTACTTTAAGTGTTTTTGATCATCATTTGCGTTGGAATTGAAATTTTCGCACTTATTCAGAGAAATATGTCATCAGACACAATGATCTATTATGATGAGTAGGCCAGATTCAATCCATCAGCGTGTGAACGATTTCATGGATTTCATGGATCCACCTAAAGGTTTCCACAGGAATTCTACTGCAGGATTGAAATATGTGTAAAACGTCGGCATTGTGGCAGAAAGTAATTCCATATTAGTTTGTTTATTAGATGCATCACACAGTGAAACAGTATCATTTACTGGATGACGTTTCAAACAAAATTTATTGTTCATAATCATATCAATTATAATTACACGACTTTGAAACTTGAGTTTTATAGTTTTCTTTGTCCTTTTCTATTTGTCGTAGAGGTATTAGAATTTTCCAGACATCTGAGGCAGGTACTGAATCATTCCTGTTACATCTATTCGAAAAACAAAGCTTCTGTCATCAATCTCTCCTCATACCCTGTGACATTAGATTTTAAAACTGTCATCCTATCCTATCCTGTTGTATGGTTGTGCGTAACTGCATGTAGTGCTATAGCTGAACTATTCTTTAGATGTCTTATCTTTTTTGGATCAACTAATCTAGATTTTGCTAGGTTTTTATGTTTTGCTAGCCTGACTGCCCCTGTTCTACTAGTGTGACCTATGCATTTGCAGGGTATTAGATAAACTAAATTGTTTTGTTTTAATGACTCCACAGAATTCTTGAACTGACAAAGCTTGTTTCTAATTGAGTTTCTGGGTTTGAATGCCACTTATATTCCTGCCTTGTTGAGAATTCTGCGTAAGGTTTCCGAGTTTCCTTCCTTGTATGGAATTACTGCTGATGATTTAGATTCCTTATTATTGGTGTTGTCTTGCGCATTTTTGACATGCATGTCATCATTAACATTATTATCATTATGATCACTATCACTGCTATCATTATTTATTTTATTTTTACATTTCACTACATACTTTCTGACTAATTTATCAAGGTAACTATTATATGTCTCATTTCCTGTCTTAGATTTTCTTTGGTTTTACTTAGTTTTTGTGCTCTGTCACTTAAACATTTCACCAATCCTATTTTTACTGACATAGGATGGGATGATCGGAAGTCTAAATATCTGTTTGCATGTGTGGGCTTCCTGTAAACACCAGTTTTAAACTTCTCATCTTCTTTCTTTTTTACGCTGCAATCTAACATTAGAAGCT